CCTAAACCCTAAACTTTAAGCCCTAGCCTCGCCTGCGAGGCTGGGCCGAGAACTTCTTGGTGCAGAACTACAACCCCGTCCTGGTGACCATGTCCCCTGGGCATGACAACAGGGGCTAATGGATTTAGAAGAACTATGTACCTCCTTCTTTTTATCATTTTTCGATTTCTGTATGAGTTTAACATTCTTAGACCCTAAACCCTAAACCCTAAACCCCATAGCAACCAATTAAAAAAGCAACGAAAACCTCTTACCAGTTTCCCTTGTACAGGGAGCCCTAAGAACCCATCCTTGTCAATTGTGGCAGCAGTGACAAAAGGAGCAGCAGGTATTTTGTAGGCTGCCCTGGCTAAGAATACTTGGAGGCTTGTGGGACTTAGAACATGCATGCTGTGATAAGTACCCTTCATTGGGGTTATAAGTACTTCTAACTATAGTTACCTTATTTCTTCCCGTAGCTACTAAGTCCCATTCATGAACCTTTGAGTAAAGGCTGAACCCTAAACCCCAAACCTCATTCTAATTATCAAGGCTCTTCGGGCCTTTACCCCTAACCCCTCAACCGGAACCCTAGTATGGAACCCTGTGGTATCCTCAAAGGGAGGCCTTAAAATCCAACTAAGGGATCAGACCCTCAACCCTAAACCCGTAAACGAACCTTTAAAAGGGAACCCCGTTATAGAATATTATAGAATATTATAGAGCCCTGTATAGTACCCTGAGCAAGGCCTTTAAGTAGGGCCTTTAGAGGGATCTTGGAAGATCTCAGAGCCTCTAAGAAGACGCCGCGAAGCCTTGAGCCAAAAACCCTAAACCCTAAACCCCTAAACACCTGTAGCCCTAAACCCTAATTTAGGGTTTAGGGTTTAGGGTTTAGGGCTCTAAACCCTAAACCCTTATAAACCCTAAGCCCTCTTACATCTCCAAACCGACAGTCTCAATCGTCTAGAGGCTTCGGGTGTTGCGGGGCCCTTTAAGGGGGTCCTTGAAGGGTTCCTTTAAGGTTTAGGGGGTTTTTAGGGGGTTCTTTTAAGGGTTCCGGCTTCCTTTAAGTGTAATCCGCTAGAGGAGTATCGTGGGGCTCTGGCCACTCGGGGTTCAAGGTTTAAGGCCGTAGGGGATGAAGGGTTCAGGGTTTAGGGTTTTGGGGTTTCGGGTTTAGGGTTTAGGGTTTAAGGGTTAGGGTTGAACGATTTTTCTTGTAGACTTCTACGGCGGGCATGGTCAGAGTTAGTTTGGACGCCCGCACCTCATTATCATCCTTGTTAGCGCCGCTACCCTGATGACCCGTAGGTCCGTAATTCTTGTGATGATGTTGTTGTTGATGCTGCTGTTAATGATTTTGCCTTTTTGAGTAATAGTTAGTACTTGGCTTTCCGGGTCAATGTAGTCGTTCGGTTTACGGAGTAGCTACTGGTAGTACTATTGCTATTTTCTATGTTCACAAACTTCATGAAGACGAACTTCATCACGGTGCATGGATCGTTGCGCATCATTGCGGCGCTATCATGACGTGTGTTTTCTCTCATCTTCCTGATCCCACTTACTATGATTATTGCCAATTGTTGCTATCACTGTTGTTCTTATGGTTGCTGGTGCTATAAGAACTGATGGTGACGAAGTGTCACTATTGCTCTTACTGTTCTTTCCACAAAGCAACAGTTGTCTAGTGATCACGCCTGCTTGTTGCTGGTCTTATGTACGTAAGTACAGTACATGATGTATACTGGAGATCGCTCTCCATGCGAAGATGATTGATTTTCCTGGTGCGTTTTCTTTTGAGTCTGTTTGTGGTCACTGTTACTGGGCCGGGGTCGGATCCAACATGTATTCGGACGATTACGACGTTGCCTTGCTTTTGTACATATTTTTGGGGTGCTTGTTGCCTCGGTGTTTCTGGTAAAGATGCTGTGGCTCAGTCACGACTACTTTACATGAACTTTGCCAGGTTTCTCAGCTGCAGCAACCCCTGCTAAACTCTAAACGTTGAACCATGCGCATGGTCATCGACTGCGTGTCTCAAGCGTGCCAGCACCTCGCGAAGGTATCTGAACCGCAAGCACCCAACTGACGTAAACTTTGATTGAGCCCTAAACCTTAGACACTGAAGATCACGAACCTTGATACATAAATTCTGAACCCCTGAACTCTAACCCTAAACCCTAAACCCCAAACCCTAAACTCTAAGCCCTAAGCCCTACGCACCGAAACCAGCCCTAAGCCCGAAGACTGCACCCGGAACTGAAGACCCGCGCTGGACGGGCCCAAGAATGACGAGCT